AATGTTCAGTGAGATAAAGAAAGGATTTTAACTGACCCTCGTAGTTCACACAGCCATTTTCATCCTCCTGGCCTTGCATGAGAGCATCGATCTCAACTTCATTCATTTTCTCACCTGTAGAAAAAGACAGGAAAATAGGTTAGTCAAGTCATTAAACAGACTGAAATACTGATGCATGTCATTAAAAATGCATTTCTGTCATGACAACTCTCGGAGGGATTGGCATGGTAACGTACATGACAATGTTAATGTATTTGGTCTTGGCGGAATAGATCTGCTACGCTGCTGCAACGGCAGAGCAAGTACCGAGACTTTCTACTGCCAATACATCCACAGCATGCTGCTGTGAGCATGTAAGAAATACGGCTGCTGCACATATAACACATATGAATAACCCCCATATAGCATACATGAATCACCTCGTAGCAGATCTATACAGGTGGAGCTGGGGAAGGTGGAGGGTTTCTGAAGTGCGCTGCCAATTCTCAAAAAATATTCAAACAAAAGCCAGGTATTTGAAAATTGAGCAGCGAGCTCATTGGCTACCGATACATCAGAGAACCAATCAGCTGCCATGTGACAATGATGTCGCCAGGTCAGATTGAGCTAGACCTATTGGACTGCGCTATCTAGAGTTTCATGCCAGAACTCTGTATTTAAACTCTGATATTGGTTGTTTGACCGGATCTATGATTTATTCTTAAATATCAATGAGCTGCTTGTGTGAAAAAAAAAGAATTTTCAGTTTTTTTTTTTACTGAGATATTTTGAATTGACAAAGTCTTTACTTTCAAATTGTGTAATAAAATATTTTTTAGCATGAAAAAATAAGGTATGTTGAAAGATACATTACAAATTGTGAACAAATCTCCTAATTCTGTCAAAAATGTCTGAAAATTGTTTGAAATCTATAGGTAATTTTGCCAAAATGTGTTATGATATTAAAGGTTCTCAACTACATTGAAAAATGGTAACATCTAAATTAACTGGTTTATTCACTTCAAAAATTCTCAACATCACTGAACAAACTTGTATACATTAATTTAAATATCAGGGTCAAAAAGGTTGAGAACAACTGAGATATAAATATAATTACAAAGCAGAGACTTTCACATTCAATTCATTCAGTGTTTCTTGGTAAAAAAATTAAAAAAAAGAAAGATGGATGGTGCGGGTCACATGTTGTTTCCAATTAATCCACTTCCAACAAAGATACTGATATGGAACTGCAGTGGTAATGCAATCAGCCTGTTCATTTTGGCCACTTACCCAGTGTTGACAAGACGATACGCAGCTCAGCACCCATTACTGTTCCGTTGCCCTCCTTATCGAATACACGCAGACCCTCAACGTAGTCATCGTATGTTGCCTTGTTTGGGCTGTTGACCACAAACTGCAACATGGGCAGGAAACCCTCAAAGTCGACTCTCTTGTTTACCATGTCTGTAAACGGGGTCAAAAGTGAGGAGAGGGGTCACAGAGGGCAGATGTAGTGAAACAATGCACTGCAAGCACCTGTCACCACACCAGCCTTCTACCAATTACAGTTAAAGAAACAGGAATCTGAAATATGTCATGGTGAAAGCTCCTGACAGTGCTAATGCTGACTAGAGGTACTTTTGGAGTAGCTAATTAAAAGTAAAAAAAAAAGGGAAGCCAAATCCACTTACCATCAGCGGTAGGGTTGCTCAGGATCTTCGAAACCTCTTTGTTGGTTGGGTTCTGTCCCAGTGCACGCATGATGTCTGCAATCTGGTTGTAGGCTACTTTGCTGTCACCAACTCTGTCGAAAAGTCCGAAGGCCTCCCTGTAATCTGGAATTGTGGAGAGATTATTTTAGGCAAAGATGAAGTGTGTCATTTCTGTGCACATTAGTTTCCAACAGGTTTCCTGAGCACATCCCTCTCTGCCATTGGTTGATCAAACCAATAATCCCGCGCACAGGTCACACCTTTGGTTTATGCAATTATACTGTATTACACTGCACCTAATTTTTAAAGAGTGGATGTGCCCATTTTTAACTTGAATGTGCAAGGCTTCCATTGTCAGCTGCTTCCAGTTATTTTAGCTGGTCCTTTAATATGCAAGCTGCTATTACTTATCATATTATTATTTGTCTGTTTACTGCACTTTGTTATTTTTCTATATTTTCTATATATTTTTTTATATTTTATGCTTTTAATTTTAGATAATGTTTTAGTAATTTTGTTGTGTTTTTGTCATTTGTATTAGTTTTTGTTGTTTTTAAATGTCTATAGTTTTATTCATTTTTTATTTTCATATGTAATATTTTCATTATAAATGTATTATTTTCAGTTTATTATTACATAAGGTTAAAGTACATGAAAGTGTGTAATATTTCCTTGGAACCTACCTTTTTAATATATTTTATCGTATTTCATTTAACAAATTATTTTCGTTTATCCATTTTATTTAAAGTATCTTTTTAATGGTTTTAGTTAACTATAATAACCCTGTTGGGGATCAACATATGAATGGCTTATAGTTAGGTCTTTTTGAAAAATTACCTTTTATGAGGCAATTTGAATGTATAATTTGAATATTAAATTTGCTCATTTGTAAGGACATTTCTGCCCCAACAACATCAAAACACATTAACTTTGATAATGGCTTTTTTACTGATTTGATGTCAGGTTTCACTTTCAGTTTTCTCTAAATCTATACATATAAAGATAAAGTTGTTTGCCATAGGTCAGATTAGTCAAATTTGTTATAACCTTTTAAAAAAATACAATAACATGTATAGTTATTTTTTTTATTTAATTTTTTTGCATTTTTAGTCCATGTGTTTTATTTGGATCTCTCAAACGAACAGGCGTTTACAAAATACCAGTTTTCCTGGTTAATCTTAACCTATCAATCTTATTAAAATCTGTAAATTTAGCTGAAAATGAGCAGACTGAATAATAATCAGTGCTCACTGTTTCTATGGACGTCATGGCAAGGAGTCTATTGCCTCACTGGAAGATGATCTGCTAAAAGATTAATAGCTTCATCTGATTTCCGCACAAAGCCAGCTGCCACCAAAGACGTGACAAGGGGCGGGGGGAGACGTTCAAAGAGTCGTCATGGAATTGATATGCTCTCCCAAGAATATAACTCCCTCCATATAAAGGCAGTACCATGTGAGGCCAGAATGCTGACTGCGTAACTCACACCCAGGCTGCTGAAAGCTCCCCTTACTGAGCAACAACCACATTCTTCCACGTAAGACGCAGGCCTGGACAATGGTGCAAATTATCTGTGAAGTTGCACGGAACTGCTTGACCTTTATTCCACAACAGAAGTAAATCCCAGAGCTCTTTGGGAATTTGACACAGGTCGCTTACTTCAAATCATTTAAAATGTTCTAAGCTTTTGAATTAATATTGCTGGTGCCATTAACTTCCTGCCTAGAGGCAGATTATAATTAGTTAGGATATTTAATAACTAATTTTCTTTCTGCAGGATTTTTTCCCTATTCTTCATTATTTTAAGCACCGCACCCCAAACTCAATACACGTTTGTAAGCAAGGGTCATGGAACCTATAAAAAATGATCTCACCTTCCATCTGGTCCGAGCTGAAATCGACCTGCAGGAAAACAGATGTACTTTTTATTCTATCCCATAAGTCAAATATAATATAATATGCTTAACAGATCAGTGTGTTTTGTAAATTTAAACATATAGATCAAAATTTCGAGTCCCAGATCTTGGCATGCTTAATTTAGTCCCTCAGCTGCTTACAGAACAGTAAGGAGCTCCATGTTTGGCCATGTGAACCCACTCCACTTTTGGCTATCTGGGCCAATCAGAAAAGGGGGGTGTTACGTTTGATTGTAGTTATGCACAAAAAAAAAAAAAAAACAGAACTATCCGTGGTGCTGAATCATCCGCCAATAATAGATATTTTCTCCAGTCATCAGGTCCAGAACAACCTTAGGCAACTGCTTAGAATGATTTAACTCATTATCTGATATAATATGCTTAACAGATAATTAGGTTATGTACATTCAGATATATTGCTCAAACATTTATGACAGCTCCATTTTAATCTGCATTACACACAGTGTCCTTATGTAAAACAGTTTATGAAAGCAATTAGCTTATAAAGTGTAACGCAACCTTAATGCAGGCATTTTCATAAATAAGCAATACAACTCAAGAGGCTTTAGAACACAAATATAATGGACTTTTTGCTTCATTAAATGCAAATTCATGTAATAGGCTACCTAACATGTAAATAATAACATAACATTATTTTGGTAGAGTTGGAATCATGTATTAACCAATCAGCATCCAGGACCTGAACTATCACTTTTTAATTTTTTTTTAATCTAATTCGTAATTTAGTAAAAACTGCAAAAATTGTATTTTTGCTAAACGTAAGTAAGTAGGCTACCTAACATGTAAATAATAACAGAACATTATTTTGGTAGAGTTGGAATCATGTATTAACCAATCAGCATCCAGGACCTGAACTATCACTTTTTAATTTTTTTTTATCTCATTCGTAATTTAGTAAAAACAGCAAAACTTTTATTTTTGCTAAACGTAAGTAAGTAGGCTACCTAACATGTAAATAATAACAGAACATTATTTTGGTAGAGTTGGAATCATGTATTAACCAATCAGCATCCAGGACCTGAACTATCACTTTTTTTTTCTTTTTTTTCCTCCCATTTGTAATTTAGCAAAAACTGCAAAACTTTTATTTTTGCTAAACGTAAGTAAGTAGGCTAAGTGAGTAAGTAAGTAAGTAAATAAATAAATAAATTCACTTTAAAGTCTGAGGAAAAAATTCCGGGAACTTTCACTGCACATCTATCTGTTAGATGTCGTGTCGTTACCTTCACACCGGACAGATCTACTGCTGCGGCTTTAGGTGGGGCCTCGGGGGCGGGTGCGGGCGCGGGAGCGGGGGCAGGTGCAGGCTGTGCTTTCTTGGCAGGCTCGGGCTTCTTAGCGTCCTTCTTTGGTGCCATTTTTTTTGTCTATTTGTCCGCCGGGAGGGAAGTCAACACAGGGAGTGGACCACAGCTTGGAGGATACTCAGCATTTTCAAGGTAAGTATAGATGGTTATATACGCGTATAATTTACTTCAGAGTCGATGTCAGACTGATACACGCGCGGATTGGGTCGCTGGTCACAGAGGGGAGGTGTCGAGCGACCCAAATGGAGAAGGAGGCGAAGCGAGGGGACAGCCAAGGGTCGAAAATATAATTTCAACTTCAGGGGGACACAACAACCCCGAAATTCTCTTCAAGGTATTGATTGTAATATTGATAATTCACGTGCGCAGTTGAGATGTAACGCGGGCGCCATGTCCTCCTCGGAGGTAAATGTGACTCTTTAGTTTAGACAAGGAGAAAGTGTAACCATAGCAGAAGTTTGACTTAACAAACAGAAATGTCCCTAGCAAAAAAGGTCAATTTCCTGCTGTCAATAGAGATGCATGAAGCACAGCTCACACAGAAATCCCTTTCAATATATACAGTATTTTTTATTACATTTAACTATTACATGAATTATTATTCCTGGTCAGGTTGAATCACTCATATTGAATGTATTTTTTAAGCGAGTTCAGTTAGCTGTTACCACATGAAGCACTTTTTAAGGTTATTTGACAAAACCGTTTGTAGCGAGTGTAGCTTGAGTCACTTGGTCTACATCAAGATTAAAAATGGCAACATGCTTACAATAATGTTTCAAATAAAGGGAAATGCCAGCAGCTGATGGCTATAAATACCAGGAGAGGTGGCAAGAATGTGACCACTTTGCTCAAAATAAATGAAAGTCTCACTTTCATGTTGTCACTTCAGTGAAAGTAACGTGACAAAAACCGAACAAGGAAGTTGTCTGCAAAGCATCAATGCTCAACTAAATAAATGATCTAAATGTACAACTTTGATGAGAGTGAATGAAAGGTGGCTTTGACTTTGTTGAAGCAAAATATACGCAGATAAAACTATACTGTATAAGTTTTCATTTCTTTTGATTTTTTTGGTTGCTACATATACTTCCATTTTTTGGGATAACATTGTTCTATTATATTGTGGATATTTTGTTCTATTCTTCTCTACTTTATGTGGGATTTTTGTTCCATTTTCCACTTTTAGCGTACTAATATATAGAAAATGGTTAAAAACAAAAAATAAGTAGGCCTAGGTCTAAACTTTAACTGGTGATGTTAATCCATTGCATGGGTGTGTTCAGATCATATTTCAATCTATGATGTCTGAAATTATTATAACTCAATTATTTTAAAATTACATTTAAGATAAAAAATAGAATAAAATAAAATGGAAATAAAAAATCGCATGCACAGAATGCAAACTGTGTTTCATCAGACTTCTGTGTGCTCAAAGCCCAGGGTTTTTCTCAGTTATGAGTCGTCTGAGCAGAGAGAGATGTTTGTGGAAGAGTGGAACTCTTCCAGCATCCAAATTCGTCAGTGTCCGTCATCATGTTATACATGGAAGTGTTTGAGTAAAGTGCAGACAGTTTGAGAAATGATACAGAGAGCCAGAGAGAAATCAAACTGTGAAGTGAATGAAAGCTGATAGTGACAATGAGTGAGTAAATATCTTTGTTCATCTCAGCCTGGACTCTTGGGAAAGGGAGTTAGTGGAGTCTGGAAGTCTTAAGGAGGCCTCAGCTGCTGATGCCCGTTACCCCTCAGAGTGCACAGAGTGAGTTTTTCCCCCCTCTCCCATCTAAATATGTCTTGCAGGCCCTTTTCCCCACCCCCAGAAGTAGAGACTGAAGATATTCATTCACCCTTCTTGACCCCCTGCTTTCCCTTTGGACCGGCTTTCTCTGACCCTCTTTCAGTTGTAGTCCCCCAGCTGTCATCAGGGCTCACCCCTGCCATCTAGAAGCACCTTCTATAAAACCTGCCCACCAGAAACAACAACACCCTCTCCAGCTCTTAATGATTTTAGCAGCTAATTCACTTTTAGCCTGCTTGGTTATTTGGTATGGTTGTTGGGATGGGGAGGAGTCAATAAGTTTGATGGAAGACACAAGATGTCCCAAGATAACTTCTCTAGTATGCATCAGGTTTGGCATACCATACATTTTTGGCCTTACAAACCTGTTTGATTTACTTTCTTCTGTGAAACACTAAAGAATAAATTTTGAACACTTTCAGTTGCTGTTTACTTCGATAGTATGGTCAAATAATACAACGGGAAACTTAAACTGTTTGATTAAATCTATTGTATAGTCAAAAATATAATGGAAGTCAGTGGGAACTGAAACTATTTAATCACCAACTTACTTGGTGACCAAAGAAAAAAGAAAGAAAGTCTTACAGGTTTGGAACAACATGAGGCTGAGAGAATGATGACATAATATTCATTTTGGGGAAGACTATCACTTTAATGTTTAAATGTATGAACTGAAGCATAGTAAAATGAAACAACATACTGTAAACCAATAGTATAAACACCTGTGCCTGTTTTACGTCATTCAATCATATGTTTTCAGTGAAGATGTATCGTGATCTGCACAAGAATATTCTGTTTTCCACAGCAACCCAAGATAGAGCTTTCCAAACATCTGTGAAGCTTCAATATAAAACCCCTTCATCATAAACATGCTACTCCAACTCAGATATGAAAACATTCCTGTCTGACGCTTCACAAGCTATGCTAATGAGGTAAGTGAGCGTACGCCCATCATACAGTTAAAAGCCTGCAGGGTCTCATGTCAAAGTGATGCACATCTCCGGATTTAGTATCTTTTCAAGAGCGCAACAGGGAAGACGTGCCAACCATGAGGGAGGAGACAGGCACTCCAAGGAGAGGTGAAAAGGTCTTACGGTGAAACACTTCTCAATGTGTGGCTGAGGAAATTACCATGTTTTTCTTCGATAGCATATGTTTTCTAGCTGATAAATAACATGCGGCCCTTTTTTTTTGTAAAATTTTGGTGGGGTCATTTTTTAATCCTATCTTAAGTTCAAGTTGTAACTATGACTAAAATGACACATAAAGGGAAAGTGATTAGTACAGAGTGGCTTTCCTGTGTCTAAATATATTGAAAAACTATTTGAGGCATTAGTCATTGGTGTCTTATAACATTAAGAGACATAGGTATGGGTCACTGTTTTCAAGAATAGCGCACCTAGTTTTTTGTTCAACCAATGGTTTGCTTCTCACAGGCCACCTATCTCATAGATACAGCCTATATTTCAGAGACATTGTGTAATAGAATTTATGTGCAATATCTAATTGCAATATTTAAATAATAAATAATAAATAAATAATAATACACATTAATATATTATCTGTATATACCCACAATTCATTGGTTAAAAAAACTGAATGTAAGTTATCTTGTATTTGTGTCTCTCTTTGCCTATATTTTTTATTCTGTTTTTTTTTTATTTTGTATCAAAAACAATTTTAACACTCCCCTGAAAAGCACTTTTGCCCTTCATAATGTATGACTAGATATATTTTAAATACCACTCATAGATACAAGTATCCATTTGTGGACGTTTTCTCAAATCCTGCATATAAAATAGTGTGAGTAGAGTATTATTTGCCTCATATGACTCCAGAATTAAAGAGATCTTAAAGGACAAACTGCATTCTGGTGAACGAAACGTGGTGCTGCTGTCTTAAGAATGGAGCGGGAAGTGAGTGGCGTTATTTTCAGATAACCTTAAGGCAGAGCAACAGAAGCATTCTGACTTAGAGGTCACAGATTCGGCAGAGTTCAGACCTCAGTGATTCTGATGTGAGCCCCCCATAACTAACAGTGCCACTCCTGGACTCCTTACTAGTTCTATAAGGAATGGCATTGTAACTTAGCCCCTGGACAGATGGACTCTATTTATAGCCCTTCCTGAAGAGGTGCAAAGTTTTCTTGGGATCTCTCTGAGGGGGGGCCACAACTCCTTAAGGGGTTTGATTTAAGCGTCACCTGCCTATGCCTTAAAGCCGTCTCAGACAGATTATAAAGGGTAAAGCTAAACAAAGCAGCACACAGCCCTGGAAAGTGGCTGTAACTCCCAGTGAGGGTCTCCAAACAGCCCTTACTGTAAAATAATACCTATTATAGTTCCTTGCAATTGCTGAAGTCACGAACACACGTCATTAAAGAGGCCTGCCCATCCTGGTTCAAGTGTTGAGATGGAATTAAATACAAAGTAATCATTTGCATATTCTGGAGGCTGCTAGAATGTTCTAGTGCTGCATTAGATATCCTGAGATCAGATGTGCATAAACTCTTCAGCATGATTTAAAAAAAAAAAAAAAAAAAACTATTACAATGTCAGACCCCAAATCTCATCCATACATCTAAATAAAAAATAAATACAAACTATTTATATATTATTTATTTATATGAGTTTCTGAAATCTTCTGAAATGGCTATATTAATTTTAAATAGTTTGATATTGAAAAATGGTCATTCGTTTTTTTTTCTGTTGTCATCCAAAGAAGAGAGGCATGCCTAATGAGCATTTACATAGAGACCAACATGGCCTTGGTTATTTTCAGACCCTTGTATATGGCTGGAGATCTTTGAAAACAGCAAATGGGATCCGAGCCAAAATCCAGAAGGAGAAACTCACCTTATTTGTTAAGACGCCAGTAGAGTGTGAGGATCCAGAGCTGAGCTGTATTAGAAAGCTATGCATTTCTGAAGCACCCCCATACCCTCTAATAATTTAGCAATTTTCCATCTTATTATGCCAACAGGCTCTTAGAATGTAAACATGATAATTTGATCCCATTAACATATGGCTATTTAAGATACATAACACTGATATTAAAGCACACTGCTGAACGAATGCACTGCGCTTTGTGACATGAAAGTATGTTTACATATTTAAATTACGAGGAACTCAATTATAATACCATTTTCTTTATCTTAAGGGCTTTTCCTCATTATAATAATGTTACAACTAAAATACTGATTCAGTTTAATCGTCACATTAGATTTGTCTCAAAGAGTATCAACAGAAGATGAGTTTCCATAGGATGACAACTAGAGGGCAGTAAACAGTATAAAACAATAGATCAGGGTTTGGCTTGTTATTTTCTCCTGCAAAGCTCCTGCTGGTAGAGGCTGTAACAATAACATTATGTTGGCAAAAAGCATATTTCTTCACTGACCAGTGTTATTTTAGTATAATTTAAAATCCTATTATTTTTTGAATGTGTCCTTGTGACACGTTACATGTACTTACTATTATAATAACAATAAATTATGCATAATTACATGCAAGTAACCCTAAACCAAACCCTAATCCTAACCCTAACCATATAGTAAGTACATGTAGTTAATTAATATGACTTTGCACTTAAATGCAGGATTACAGTGTAACAAGGACACCTTAAAGTAAAGTGTGGCCGGTTTTTATTTTTATTTATTATATATATTTTTTTCATTTAAATTTTAGTGAACGTTTTAGTAATTTGTTGTAGTTTTAGTAACTTGTATCAGTTTTTGTAATTTGTTTTATTTTAAAATAATTTTTATTATAATTATTTTCAAAAATTGTATTAAAAATGTTGCCTTGGCAACTAGCTGAAAATAAAAAAAATTATTTTAAGTTTTATGTTTTATTTTATTTCAGTTAACATTTTGTTACTATAATCATACCATTCGCGCTATTAAAAAAGTAGCTTATTTTACAAGCAACATATAAAATGCAAATATTTCAATATATTATATTTCCATATATTATTAGCATTTATTATTCCATATACTTTTATTACAATTTTTCCATTTACAGTCTAAAATATCTGTCCATCCAAAACACATAAGGTAAGTGTTATATAACAGCATTCCGTTACTAAAACTATCAACAAACATATACCTCTAAATATTGACCATAATAATTACACAAATATACAAACTCAACCAGAACTATACACAAATTACAGTATTTTTGCAAAATGTGAACATGTGAGTGAGAGGCCCTCTTCGCTTGAGTACAGTAGGTGAACAAGTAAATCACCTATACATATGAATTATTTTGTATATAATAATATTCAGAATATAATAATATAATAAGCATAATATAAAAAGTTGTTAAAGTTTTGAAGGCTGGTTTTAAAGAGTTTAAAATGTGCATGAATTATATACATATACTATAACATTACAAATCAAACTTTTGGTAGAATCAGTTACATGATTTTAATAAGCAGTGTGCTACCCTTTCATAGTCTACCATGGTCTAGTTTGTGGTCAAGTTATCACTGCTTACAACCTTCCACAGCTTTGACTTATGACCTACACATGTTAGCTCAGGGGTCATTTAATTCACACAGAGTTCATGTATATTGTTCCTGTCTGAGGTCTGTATCTTTGCTGAATGGTGCCACACATTATGTGTGGTTCTGACAGACTGCTGAATCCACCAGAGTGGCGGCCTGGGCACTGAGCCCTCCCAGCATGCTCAGCAAAAGTCCTGCACTAGCATTAATCCCCTGATAGGGGCTCCCGCTATTGTCAGAAGGAGAGGAAAAGAGCAGGGATTTGCTCACTGTAGCACACTGTGGATCTGAGTTGCAAATGTGAATGCATGGTTGGGGAGTACTGTAGTTTCATCAGAAGTCTGTGTTCATCTCCTTTAGTAGGCTTATTACAGCATTCTTTTAAACATCCTAAAAATAAGAACATATGACATTTACTTTAGCCTGTGATTTACACAAGCACTTAAACGGATAAGTTTTTTTCATGTTAAAAACATGTTAATGTCATATTCATACACTCTTAAAAATAAAGGTGCTTCACGATGCCATAGATTAGAAGAACCTTTTTTTCTAAATGGTTCCATAAAGAACCTTTAACATCTGAAGAACCTTTTTGTTTCACAAAAGGTTCTTTGTGGTGAAAGAAGGTTCTTCCGATTATAAAAAGGTAAGAAAGAGATGGTTCTTTAAAGAACCTTTGACTGAATGTTACTTTGTGAAACCAAAAATCGCTGTGAAGAGCCTTTTAAGCACCTTTATTTTTAAGAGTGTAATTCACTGAAGATGCATTTATTGGTTGGGTCATTGCTCTAGAATTATTATGTGATGTTGCCATATTAAATGCCCTTTTCCTCTATACTTCTCTCTGTGTAAAAATACAACCTATTGCATTGATGAAATGTTTCAAAATTGCACAGTGAAATAACATGGTTGAAGTGATACTGAAATTGTACTTCTAAACAGATTTATACATTGCGTTATATTTTATTATTTATTATTTTTCTCAATTACAATTTTTGGTGATATTTGTGCGCTCCTCATTTGGGAGTCACACTCATGGTCTTCGCGGTCAAAAGTGACCGGACACCTGAAATGTAACTTTTTTTTCTTCTTCAGTAAAATCAATCTAATATATTTTGTTCAATAATATATATATATTTTTATTTTGTATTTTGAGATAATTTGATGGTACTAATGAATATTTATGCAATAATTATGATAAACTTGCCCACTGAAAAAGTCAAATTTTTTGTTCTAATATTTTTTTACAATTATTTTTCAATTAATGCAGTATTTCAGATTAAAATAGAGACTATGCCTTTAAAATCCAATTTTTGTAGGCAGAATAGCACCTCCATACTGAAATTGTACTTCTAAACAGATTTATACATTGCGTTATATTTTATTATTTATTATTTTTCTCAATTACAATTTTTGGTGATATTTGTGCGCTCCTCATTTGGGAGTCACACTCATGGTCTTCGCGGTCAAAAGTGACCGGACACCTGAAATGTAACTTTTTTTTCTTCTTCAGTAAAATCAATCTAATATATTTTGTTCAATAATATATATATTTTTTTATTTTGTATTTTGAGATAATTTGATGGTACTAATGAATATTTATGCAATAATTATGATAAACTTGCCCACTGAAAAAGTCAAATTTTTTGTTCTAATTTTTTTAAAATTATTTTTCAATTAATGCAGTATTTCAGATTAAAATAGAGACTATGCCTTTAAAATACAATTTTTGAAGGCAGAATAGCACCTCCTGGTGAGAGCAAAAAAAGAAAAACCTGTAATTTCATGGTGTAACCACTACATTTCTGTATAGGACTCTATAGAGAGGCTTGTGAATTCCCTAGTTGTTTTTATACATAATTGTTAACTTTTATTAGGTTGTGGATTTAAATGTATAATTAAGGCATTCTCAAAGACTACTTTTTTGTCAAGGTTTATATTTTTTGTTGTTTTAAATGTTGATTTGAAGTGTAGGTTTTTGCATTATTATTACTACATTCAAACCTGTATACAGAAAGCATTTTGTTACACAAAACATTAAAATTTTATAAAAATGTTACAAAAATGAACATGAATGCTTTGTCAGAGCTTAATCCTTCTGGGTCTGATCTGATTTTAACCTCTTATTTAAGTCTTCTTTGGCTATATGGTTATAGCCATACCAATTCATTTGAGTATGTATAATTCTGTATGTGTGCGTCTGAGTGTGTGTAAGTTTGTGTGAGTGGATGAAGCTGTTTTACACTCTATTTTTTCCCTATTTCCCATTCATTTCCTATGGTCGGTTTCCTATGGTATTCCCCACTTTCCAGACCGAAGACCATGAGTGTGACTATTTTTTTTACGATCACTTAGCTTTTTCAAATCATGCCCTCAATTTTTTTTTTTTGTGTGTTCACATACCAAGTGCCATAAAAGTCACAAAGTTTCGTACCATTCTGGTGAAGCTACGATTTAAAAAAATTCTAAATGTAAAATTCTCTGGTCAGAAGTGACCGAAGACCGCACAAGGGTTACTAGATGTTATTATCAAATCAACTTACTATAAATGTTGCCATGCAGTTACCGTAATAAAACTGCATTAATGCTATTAATCATTCTTATTTTAGTATTATTATATACTATTACAGTATTTATTAATATTATGAATTAGCTTTCATTCAGTTTTCATTTTCATTTTAGTTTGAATGATTTATGTTTTGTCATTTCTATTAGTTGAGTATGAGTTTTTTATTTTAAATTGAGTTTTTAGAAATGTAAGTATTTCAACACTTATTTCAGCTAGGCAAAATATCTAGTTTTCGTTTTATAAGTTTAGATTTTTCATCAATCATTTTATTTTATTTCAGGTTTATTTCATTAAACGAAAACTTTTAGTTTTAGTTTCAAATTTTCATTGTAATATATTTGAAAATATATCTTAAAATTAGAGTTGTGTGGTGTTGAATTATTTCATATGGAGGCCTAAACTGAACACGATTTACAGATTTAAAACGCTGATTATCGTCTTCAGCCATCGAAGTCAAACTGGCCAATCAGAGCACAGCACGTTGAGTAAGCGATGAGAATGAGACTCTCTCGCGCTCCAGAGTTGATTTACAACTTCTCTCACAGCGGCAGCAGGTGAACAGAGCGCGCTGCATTCACCGGTGCATGGAAATATTTAAAACCCTTTCATAGTTGATATTCACAGGTAGTTTGACAATAGCGCATATTAATAAGGAGAAAAGAAAACTTCTGGACAGAATATGTCAAAAATCTTAACAGTCTGTGGAGTTGCCAAATCATTGAGGCTGGGATGGCGCAACTGGAGAACTTCGACAAGATTGCTCAGCATGAAGGTGTGTTAACTGAGTTAATTGGTTGAGTGATACGAGGTAAAGAAGCTTTGGGGAAAACTGACAGTCTGCCTTACATTTACTTGTTGTGTATCATGAATCCACACATTTGTTGCTTTTAAATACAGTCTGATTTCCAGGCTCAGACTGCGCACTTGGTGCTTGAAGATGGCACGAAGATGAAGGGCTACTCTTTCGGCCATGATCACTCTGCAGCTGGAGAGCTGGTCTTCAACACTGGACTAGTTGGGTAAGAAGGGACCCTCTGAATATGGTCATAGTGTTTTGGCAAAAGAGACAACTTCCCTGATGACAAATCACTGGCAACAATCATGTAAAAACATTTTCTAACCCGAGTTCAAATACTTCAGCTGTAACTCCTCCTAAATCTTTCAAGTGTTCAAGTCCTTCAGCCTGGCATCAGTCTACCAGCCATCCAGAACGCTCTTGCAGCCACATAGTTTTCAAAGTGAAAATCTCTTCTCAAAAGTTTTAGCTACATAACACCTAAATGCTTTATTTATTTATTTTGTCAAGTCAGTATTTCCAGTTTCCTTTTGTAGTTTTGAGATGATCATATTAGCGTTTAATATAAAAAGTATGGTCTTAAAGTTTGCGTATGATCTCCAGCTATCCTGAGGCTCTGACAGACCCCAGTTACAGAGGGCAGATCCTGACCCTCACCTACCCCATTGTTGGAAACTACGGTGTTCCTAATACACAGCAACTGGATGAGCTGGGATTGAAGAAAAATGTGGAGTCTGATCGCATTCAGGTACTAGCAATGACAAAATCACGGGTTTGAGTCCTTATGGAATGCACAAAATGACAGAATATATACCTGGAATGCAGTATAAGTCATTTTTTAGAGACAATCATCTGCCAAATACATACAATTTAAAATAACAGTTTTATATGTTAATATATTTTAAAATTTCATTTATTACTTTGATGCCAAAGTTGAATTTTCAGCTGCCATTAGTCCAGTCTTCAGTTGTTTTAAATTGTAATACTTTTTCACAATATTGTTTTTTCTGTATTTTTGATTGCATAATTGTAGCCTTTGTGACTTTGAGACTTCTGTAAAAGCATTTTTTAAAAAAATCACAAATATTAGTGTATATTTAACCCTTATCTTGCCATATATTTTGTTGCTGGAAGGTGTCAGGACTGCTGGTTCAGGACTACAGTTCTGAGTACAGTCACTGGAACTCTGTCAAATCACTGGCACAGTGGCTTCAAGAGGAGAAGGTGGGTTTCCATATATTCTAATTTCTACTCACTTCCACAGTAAGTATTAAAAGCATATATCTTTTCCCTGTTCTTGCAGGTGCCGGCTCTTTTTGGGATAGATACCAGGATGCTAACAAAGATCATTAGAGACAAGGTCAGCACACTGCACACAGCACAAGGATGCAGTTTGTCCAAAATGATGCTTTAAATACATTCTGAAGGTTCCTATTGTTTTTCTTTGAATAAGGGTACCGTTTTGGGGAAGATTGAATTTGATGGACAGACGGTGGAGATCACAGACCCAAACCAGAGAAATCTCGTAGCTGAGGTCTCCACCAAGGTAACCAGCATGCTTGGTAGTTTGCTGTGCATTACATTTTCAGTGAGTGTTCACCATGAATTTTCCTGCTTTAAGGATATTCAAGTGTTTGGGAAAGGCAGTCCTATCAAAGTGGTTGCTGTTGATTGTGGAATCAAGCACAACATTATAAGACTACTTGTCAAGGTAAGGAATTGTGGTCTTTCTGCCCCTAGAAAGATGTGGAAGCAACAGGCAATATTTCAAGACTTTTCATTTTTATATCCTAGAGTGGAGCAGAAGTGCATTTAGTGCCATGGGACCAAGACCTGATGAGTTTGGAGTATGACGGTCTCTTCATCTCCAACGGCCCAGGAGATCCTTCACTGGCAAATACCCTGATTCAAAATGTCCGCAAGGTACAGAATGAAGGATAGCATTGTCATCTGTGCATGTTATTTAAAAAAAAAAGAGAACATCTTTCATCTGAAATTACACTTAATTAAGCCGTATTGGTAACCAATAGTCAATTTTCTTATGTCATATTACAGAAGTAAAGTGGGTTGCGAACAACAGCTGGCACTGACTATTATTTAAATTGGAAAACAAATGAAAAAAAGATTAAATTCAGCCACACTAACTAATATGGATATTTGAAATCAATAAATTGTCACACTATGTTTATCTTTCATCTTGCCATCATAATGACTGTCAGGTGCTGGAAAGTGATCGTCCTCAGCCAGTGTTTGGTATTTGTATGGGGAATCAAATCACAGCTCTGGCAGCTGGTGCACAGTCTTATAAACTACCAATGGGAAACAGGTACAAATTATTATTATACAACATATTTTATGGTAAATAGACCATAATTTACTGATTATATGTCAAATTTGTTATAATGTGTGTCTGGGAATGAAATACAATGCAAAATTATTCTGGCAGAAGAAGAGAAAACTTAACTTTTGTCATTTATGTCCTTAGACTAATAAAACATTTTTTTTTCTCATTTTGTACAGGGGCCAAAACCAGCCAGTTGTGAACGTGATGACGGGCCAAGCTTTCATCACAGCTCAGAATCATGGGTATGGCATAGACAGCGAGTCCCTTCCTCCAGGCTGGAGTCCTCTCTTCATCAATGCAAATGATGGAACCAATGAGGTCTGGATTTAATTGTTCATAATTTAACCAACCCTGTGTCGTTCCAAACATTCTAAACCAAAGACTTTCTCTCTTCCATGTAATACGGGTGAAAATGTGGATTTTTGGGTTGGCTTTTTTTAAATATAATGTCAGTAACGGGGACTCTGTCTGTCAGGCTCCAAAAAAAAAAGTACTTACTTTCATAAGTAATAAAGTTTTTCATTGTTGTGTGAACTTTTGCTTGAACTGTGACTGGCTGACGAAAAATTAATTGCAAGAGCTTGGAAGGTTTTTTAGTAATGCATTTTGCTGTTAAAGTAACATACCTCAGCATTGGTTTAATGGTTATTCCAAATTAACTCTTAGGTTGTTTAGAAAAGCTTTATATGTGTAAAAAGCTTTGTTTTGTTTTTAGTGGAATCTGGGTTAGAGCCTAACACTGTTTTCTCTTTCTCTCTTTCAGGGCATTATGCATAATACCAAGCCAGTGTTCACAGCTCAGTTCCACCCCGAGGCCAAAGGAGGACCCACAGACACAGAGGTACCGCAGCACTGTCAGAGGATCGTGAAGAGTCTGATCTTTTTTGTTTTTCATGGCTGAATGTTCTCTCTTGATCATGTTGTGTTGAATCCTCTGTAGGGATTCATACATGGCTGCCCTACACAGCAGGGTGCTGATTATTTCATTAAAAACCAACCAGTGTACTTGAGCACTTTCTTCAATTATCTTTTATAGTTCCTGTTTGATGCTTTCATCTCTCTGATAAGGAATGGGAAGGAGGGGAGCATCGCATCTGTGATGCCAAAGAAACCTGCTGTTCCTCAGAGAATCCAGGTGGGGGAGACAAACTACATAAGTTGGAAGTCCTGTCTGCATAGGATAGGATAGGTACTTTATTATGGTGTTGAGTACAGATACAGGTACTTGTTTGTTGTTTTTCCCAGGTGTCTAAAGTGTTGGTGCTGGGATCTGGAGGCCTGTCCATCGGTCAGGCAGGAGAGTTTGATTACTCGGGATCCCAGGCTGTTAAAGCTATGAAGGTGAGAAGTTTTGTTGATCTCTGCTAGTTGTGCCTCTTTTCAATAAATTCAGTCCTTTTAGGACCTTTCAGGCCAAGTACCACCTTTGATCAGATCAGATCATCCAAGTATCACCTTTCCACAGACATTCTTGCCCTGAGTTTTTTTTAACCATTAGCAGCAAATAGAGTCTTTTTGAGCACATTTTGTTGACAAAACCCACTTAGGCCATTGGTCTCAAACTCAATTCCTGGAGGGCCACAGCTCTGAACAATTTAGCTCCAACCCTAATCAAACACACCTGATCCAGCTAATCAAGGTCTTCAGGATTACTAGAAACTTCCAAGCAGGTGTGAGTTGGAGCTAAACTCTGCAGAGCTGTGGCTCTCCAGGAATTGAGTTTGAGACCACTGGTTTAGGCCTTTGCATAAATTTCTATGCAGGTTCAAGATGGTGTATAGTAAGCTAGTTAGTGCTAGTTTTTTTTTTTGCAGCTTTGCTATCCTTAGATGTGTTGTTCATCAGCAAAAATGCTTGCTGGTAAAGCTAGTTGGGACACTAGCACATCAGCATCCAAAACAAAACGGCAGGGCAAACTTAAGGCCTGTTAGTAATATACACATAATGCCATATTTTTTATTATTATCAATTCTGAAAATCTCTGAAATCTCTCTTTTGAGATTTTTTCCCCTGGCTTTTGGTGAGTCTTTAGCCCTATTCGCATGGGATTAGTATTATCTGGAGACCTTGTGTGATTTTGAAATCCCCCCCCCC